GCTTATGTAAGGTCTGAATATTTTTGTTGCAGCTTTATTTCTAACTGCCTTCAGAAGATGAATGAATAAATAAATCGGGGTATACCACAGAATGGCATATTATTAGGAAACAAATCACCTATCAAACCACCAGGAGACATAGATGAATCTAAAATGCATATTGTTAAGTGAAGGAAACAGGCTATCTACTGTAGGATTCCAATTATGTGACAATTGGGAAAGGGCAAAACGGTAGAGACAGTGAAAAGATCAGTGGTTTACAGGGGTTCAGGAATGAGGAGAGTTAAATAAGAGAAGCACAGGGAATGTTTTTGGGTGGTGAAACTCCTCTGTGTGACACTGTAATGATGGTTCCATGATATTATGCATTTGTCAAGACCCATAGAGCACTACAACACAAAGCACTCATATGACTGTATGCAAATTAAAACAAACATGTGTTAAAGAGGTCAGAGCATTCAACTAAGTGTGGGGCTGTATATGCAGGGGACCTATAAGGCTAAGTAAGTTTTTGTTTCCATGAAGCCAGCCCACTCCTGTTTCACTTGTCAATGTTTGCCTCTTAACATTTGCCCCTGAGCTTTTTGCTGGATGTAACCAACCTCTCTGAGCAAACCAAGGTCTCTGTGTGTCCTGCGGGGTTGGGGCAGACACTGCACAGCTGTGATAGCTCCTCCATGGGAATAGTTGAGGCTGAAGTGAAGATTGGCTTTTGCATCCAGGACAGAGGGAGGCAAGCAGGCAAGTTCAGGAATGAGGCACTGACTGCAGCTGACACATGGTAACCATGGGGTAGTGAGAACCATCACTAGGGGTATTCCAGCCTGAAGGCAAGGAAAACTCCTGAAATTTGGAAAGAAGGCAGGACTGAGCAGATGTGGAAAGTCATATGAACAAGAGGGTCCCACACTCACAGGAAGACAGTGCCTTTCTCCACCATTTCAGCTGTCATGCTCCAGAGCTTCTGCAACTCTGTTCTGCAGCTTTTATAGTATAAGCAGCATTTAACACAACAAGATTTATGAGAATAATTTTTGAGACTTGTTTGTTTTTCCTTGTATTACCAAATGTGTCTGATGGTGACCTAAAGATTTTCCTGTGACTCTACTTCACAGACAGACACAAATACAGGCCTACACTTTTAGTCCTGAGAGGATGCCAATGGCCTTTCCCTGCACACCATGGTCCCACCTTCTCTTGACTGAACAGGGAGAGATGGAATCACCAAACTAAAGCAACCTAGATTAGTCTGCCCATGAGGAAAAGCAATTCTGAGAACTTGAGAACTTCCAGAAGTCCCCTCATACCACTAGGGTAGACAATACTAACAATAAAAGGGAATATTTTTAAGTGTAACTAGACTTTCCTCAACTAAGAGAGTCTTTGAAATGCACAAAATGGAGCTACGGAAATGTTCCCTTCAGTTGATCAATTTTTCTGAAATGTTCATTTGGACCTTATACATTGTGGTACAACAGTTAATCCTGAGATCACAAGGAGAAACTACAGTTTCTTCCCTCTCATATAACTTTCCTGGAAACATAAAACAAGCAAACAAATGCAAGTCAGTGTGGTTTTTTTCCAGTCTGGGGGAACCTCACTGCTATTAGTGCACTGGCTGGGGACTTTACCTGCCTTCCCTATATGAAGCTTTTGCAGTCAGATCCAGGAAACAAGAGAAATGGGCAGTGGGTCCCAGTCAGAATGAATTCAGAAAGTTTTCCAGGGTATGAAGTCAGTACTGGGCTGAATGCTAAGCTTGCTTGCATTTGATCATGGTGTCATTTTATCTGTGACAGACAACACTAGAAATAGAGATGATTTCCGAGTGAAGCCAATGATTCTTCAATCACAAACTTGCCTAAGAATACTAAGAACTTGAACAATGATTCTGGCGGCACATGGGCCAATAGAAGTTGCGTCCTGTCAGCAGCTGCAACTTGTGACACAAAGAGGGGCAGGCCACCGCAGAAGGACCAATTGAAGTACAAGGGCAGAGGCCTCAGACATCCCCAAAGCACACAAAAGCAGCAATAGCAAAAAAAAAAAAAAAAAAAAAAAAAAAAAAAAAAAAAAAAAATTCTATGTATTCAAATATTAAGTATTTTTATTATAATAATCTTGTTACAGTAATTTTAAAATACCCAGAAAGCCTGGGGCTGCCTCTAGCCAGGTAGAAAGGGCAGCGAGCACAAAGAGGCAGGGACCCAGCTGTGACACTTGAGGACACTCAGGCTCTCAGGGTTCCTTATGCTCCTGGGGCTATTTTCAACTCCAATGTGAAGTCAGCCTAGCTTTAAATGTGGGCAAATATGAGCATGAATTAAACATGAAGAGGCAAAGAGATATATTTAAGAAGAAAGAGGATGGCTTGAAATTTATCCAGCCATATTTTTGAAAAATAACAAAATATTAACACTTTTCAGGATTGTCAGAAGAAGCTAGTTTGAGAATGGGAATAGCCGCCCTCAAGTGAATTTCCATTATTTTCCTTACTACTGCCTTTCTCCATTTCTTCATGTATAACCTGTACCCTTATTGGGCTTTATTCAGGATTTGCTGTGCATGATACTTTGAAATCTTTGCACAGCAGTGGTGTGAAAGCATGCAGAGCGGCCCCTGACACTTGGAAATTCTAAGAAGGGAATAAATGATCCCCTCTTGCACAGCAACAGCTTGGCCACTGATGGCTAGCCCAGAATAATTCTGGAAGTTTCAGCTTCCATCCTTTGCTCTCTGTGCCCTTCAATTGATTCTTCCACAAGTGCTTCCAAATTAAGAATTGAAAAACCAGGGAATCACAGGACTCAAAGAAATATTAATATTCATCTAGTCTGGAGGTTTGGGGAATGGGAATGGATTTAGAAGAAATGAAGGCAGTGACAGAGCAGCCAGGTTCTAGATCACTCACTGCTGCTTCCATTAAAATGCTTCTGTTCCCCAGTCTGTTGGACTCCCCTATAAGGTTTTATGTGAAGCACATATTTAACTACGAAAAAAGGTCTAGCAATGAAAAATAACTTGAAAACTTTGGATATATAATGGCATGTATAATGCATTAGAAAGGGTTCTTTTTGCTTTGTAGAAAATGTGCTTTGGAAATTTCTGAGTTTACATGACTGATGAAAATACACTGTTTAATTTAAAGATAATTGTTTAATGCTTTTACACTGTTGGTGGGAGTGTAGATTATTTCAACCATTGTGGAAGACAGTGTGGTGATTCCTCAAGGATCTAGAACCAGAAATACCATTTGACCCAACAATCCCATTACTGGGTGTATCCCCAAAGGATTACAAATCATTCTACTGTAGAGACACATGCACACATATGTGTATTGCAGCACTATTCACAATAGCAAAGACTTGGAACCAACCAAAACATCCATTAGTGATAGATTGCATAAAGAAAATGTGGTACATATACATCATGGAATACTGTGCAGGCATAAAAAAAGAATGAGTTCATGCCCTTTGCAGGGACATGGATGAAGCTGGAAGCCATCATTCTCAGCAAACTAACACAAGAACAGAAAACCAAACACCACATGTTCTCACGTGTGAGAGCTCAATAACAAGAACACGTGGACACAGGGAGGGGAACATCACACACCAGGGCCTGTTGGGAGTTGGGGTTGGGGCCAAGGGGATGGAGAGCATTAAGACAAATACCTACTGCATGCGGGGCTTAAAAGCTAGATGATGGGTTGATGGGTGCAGCAAACCACCATGGTACATGTATACCTACGGAACAAAACTGCATGTTCTGTACATGTATCACAGAACTTAAAGTAAAATTTTTTAAGAAGATAATTGTTTAAAAATCTACCTGAATAATTTTAGGGTCAGATTGGGTGAGGGAAATCAATCTATGAGCAACCCATTCCCATGTACATTCCACAGCAAGAAACAGCACAATGTGGCTTCCACGTCTAACAGAATAGGTAGCAAACAGGACAACTTTGAGGCCTAATTGCCTAATCCCCAGTGCCTCTGAACTTGCCATAGTCCTTGAAAACCCAGCCTAGAAATCTCTTATAATAGACAATCTGCGTGGCTACATAGTTATAAAATTTCATGGTTTTTATAACACATGATACACTCAAAGATTCTCGCCACTTCTATACTACATTTAAGTATAATTGAATACATAAATATGCACACAATATACTTTTCAGTACTGGCACTCATTGAAACTTAACAGATATCAGTGAGTTTGATGATTCTTACTAAAACCATACTATAAGTCCTTGGACTGCCAGGACATAAGCTGTCAAAAATGCTGTGACAGCTTATTATAAAAACAGATTTAGTGACTTCAATCCTAACCTTTTCTAGCCAGGTTCACGTCCTTCCAACAAATAGTGTATGATTCCTTCCTAAAGTAACACTTATTCTACTACAAGGTCATTGATCCACCTGCATCATACATGCTGACTCACACTCCCTTCCTGAAGGAATTTGATTCATTGTACTAATTTCACCTCATTCACTCATTCCTCCGAACAAACAAAAGAGAACGTAACAGTCCATAGTCAGTCTGCCAAGCACCGCCCCCTGCCCCCTGCTTGTTAAGTGTCTACTTCTTAGGAAATCACACCTCACTGAAATGTGTAACTCCAGTTACCATCTTCATGAGGAGACACTGACCCTTCACCTAATAAAGGGTGTTTTAGAAAAAGTCAATTATTTTTCTCATTCCTATAAATAGTATTTATTAAAGAAACAACACAAATCAACATAGCTGTTTAAATAAATATTATGGAAAGACACATCTAAATGCTGTGTAACTGCAATTAAACGTTGAGATATTTCTGAATATTTCTACTCCTTCCATAACAAGAGGTTTTGTTTTCTATGCCAATTTTCAAGAACAGAGAAAGAGGCTTCAGAAAGATTAATATCAAAGAAAACAATTGTCTCCTAGAAGTGTAGACAAATACGGTTGATTTTTTTCCACTAATTTACGCATGATACATTACTGCAAAGTAATGGTCTTACTTGAATTCAGGTAGAGCAATATTTTTCTTTCGCTGGGGTCACTTCTTGGGCAATCTCAACATTCTGGAGAGCAGTCTAGATGCAGAAATTAAAAAAAATATATATAAGTCCTATGAGCATTCAAAAATAGAAGTGATGAAATCTACACACTGAAACGTATCTACTTTCCCCATGAGGAAGACAAGCCTACTATTTACACTCAAATCATACACAATTTTCCACACTTTCTTGTCAATTTCTAGGAATAGCTCAAATCCCTGTAAATTATCAAGAGAGGAAGCGACGTAATATTTTCCAAATGACTAATGTCACAAGATTAAGTTCTGTAGAACACACTTTGGGGAAATTGACTTCAAAAGGAGTACCAGAGGATATTTGGCAATCTGCCCAAAATTTCATCTGCCAGTAGGTAGCACTTGGATCCAAATTTAGAATGAGACTCCAAGTTTAAATTAGTGATAATATGTAAAAGCCTTCATCATGAGGAATAGTCTATTGATTTAATGCCACGAAGTGATAACTTTTTTATGAAACTTAGCTATTAACTCAGTTTTATTGTGGGGAGGGGCAGGGTGATCCCTTAAAACATTGAAGGCTTGAACAACAGATTGCTAATTCCAGAGGCTAGAGAGATGCTTCTGCCTTTGTCATTTAGTTTTTAATGATCCCATTTATGTTACTTGGCCCCTCATGAACTCAACTGTAGTTTTGAAAATACTGTACTTTAATAAATGAAATGCAGATGAGATGTCTATATTTAATAGAGAAGTGGTTATCAGAAGTCCCAGGGTGATGAAGCTGGCTGCATAAGTGTTGCTTCTATAGCTTATTGAAAATAATAATATATTTATAACTGAGGAGAGAGGGTTCAATTCTGAATCTGAATCAGATTCAATTTTGAATCTGAATCAGAGGCCTATAAATATGCATTTTAAAGAAGCTCCCTCAAAATCTGAAACATAGCTAAGCTGAGAACCCTTAACTAGAGTAAAGCTTGTGAGATGTGCTAGGAATAATTCTTGGATGGTGTGATGGTTAACACTCAGTATCAACTTGATTGGATTGAAGGATGCAAAGTATTGAACCTGAGTGTGTCTGAGAGTGCTGCCAAAGGAGATTAACATTTGAGTCAGTGGGCTGGGAAAGGCAGACTCACCCTTAATCTGGGTGGGCACAATCTAATCAGCTGCCAGTGTTGCCAAGATATGAAGCAGGAAGAACACCAAGAAAAGACTAGACCGGCTTAGTCTCCCAGTCTACCTCTTTCTCCTGTGCCAGATGCTTCCTGCCCTTGAGCATCCGACTCCAGATTCTTCAGCTTCGGGACTCAAACTGCTTTTCTTGCTCCTCAGTTGGCAGGCAGCCTATTGTGGGTCACTGTGATTGTGTGAGTTAATACTACTTAATAAACTCCCATTTTATATATATGTAATATACATATATATTTCCTATTAGTCCTGTCTCTCTAGAAAACCCTGACTAATACAGATGGCCCCCAGATTCTTACCCCTAAAATGCTCCTTGGCTGCGGACTGGACTTGTGGCAGTTGTGGATTTCACTCCTGTGATGAGATTCTATCAGATGACAAAAGTGGAGGGATTATGTGGCTGTCATCTGCCAAATCAGTCAATTTTGAGTTAATCAGTTTGAAGGATATTATACTGGGTGGCCAGACTTGATCAGGTGGGAGCTCCTACAAAGTATCAGAGGTTCAAGCTGGGACAGATTCTCCCATGCTTTTGGAAGAGGGAAGCTGCCCTGTGGAGATGGTTGCATACCCAAGTCCTCCAGGAGGCGGCCACTAGGAACCTGGAGCAGCCCTTGGCCAGCACGCAGCAAGAATGTGGGGACCTCGGTCCTAGAAATGCAAAGAACCGGATTCTGCCACAAACCTAAGCAAGTTTGGTAGAACCGCAGAGTTCCAGATGCGAACACAGCCTGAATGACACTATAATTGTAGCCTTGTGAGACTGTGCATAGAATCAATCTGCATATGTCGTGCCTGCACTTCTAACTATGGAAACCATGAGGAAACAAAGGAGTACTGTTTTAAATGACTAAGTTTGTTACATGTTTTTATGCAACAATAGATAACCAATACACGAGTTAAGTCTTATGCCTCACTCTGTTATTACTGTATCCCCACATGTCATGCATGTGATTCCATATTTTTTAAAATTTATATGATAAGGAGTTCAGAATTAGATATTGTGTCAAAATAACGTTAATTGCACTGGAATAATTATCATATCATTAAGTGCTTTCACAGGTTGTTTCCTTAGTTATTTTATGTGAAATAATTTTAGACTAATCTGTTTTTCTCCATTTATTTATTATTTTATATAGATGTATTTGATGGATTTTATCTATGAAATAATAAATATACATTAAGCCTCTTGAATTAAAAAATAAATGTAACCTTGTACCACAGGACCAATATTGAGGTGTGAAAGTAGGAACATTAGTTAAAGAACAACATGCTATCCTCACTGAGGCTGGTCTACTCCTGGTCTCTATAGCCACAGAGGTGAGCAGACATTAGAACTAGAATACAATGTTCAAAGTACCACTCTTACAGCCCCAGGTGCAAATATGAAGAGCAAAGAGGGAAAGGAAGCTCGATGAGTCTAGCTAGATGGTTCTTCTGTTTACATATTTACCACCCTCAATTCCACGATTACCCATTTATTTTCACTTCATTATTATTTTTTTACAGATGGGGTCTCACTCTGTCACCCAGACTGGAGTGCAGTGGGTGCAACACTCAGTGCGTAACTCACTGCAGCCTCTAACTCCTTGGCTCCAGTGATCCTCTTGCCTCAACCGCCCAAGTAGCTGGGATTACAAGTGCAAGCCACAAAACTCAGCTCCTAATTGGGACCTCTGCAGAGGCTTTAATGTAACACCATGAGGGAAATGAAGAAATCAAATAAAAACCTCAAACCAAAACACAGACAGTCCAAAGAAGAGTTCACTACAGCTAATGAAGTAAATAAAAATCTAAAAATGGTAGGTTAATCAATGTATTACTTAACAAGGAACTAGAAGAAAGGAGAGATTTTAAGTTTCTATCAAACCGGAATATATGAGGCAAATAAGAAATACCAGGGGCTCTTGCCACACCCTGTCCTTCCCAGTTCTGAGCTCCCTAAGAGTGGGCCGTCTTCTCTCTCCCTTTCTAGGTCTTTATATGTTTTTCTCTATGTGATGTCCAAGATATTAAGTTGCATTTAAGCGGGAGGAAGAAGCAAAACTGCTTCTACTCCAGTTTTCTCAGAGGCAGAAGTCGAACTTCATTTTTGACTTAGGAATTTAACTGGAAAATTTAAGTGTAAAACATAAGAGTATACATGTGAGTTTTAAAAATACATTATTGATGTCAGTTATTCAAAGTGTCTTTTAATATTGATAAATTCATACTGTGTGCCCTATGACGTCTTTTTGTGAAATAAATTATTATTCACTGTAATTATTCAATGAAATTATTGTTCATTGAAAACCCTCAAATACAAGTATCACTGACGAAAACAAATTCAATTGTAAGTGACAAAGATGGAAAAGTGTCAGAAAGAAAATAAATGTTTTAAAACACTCCTCATCTATATAAAAATGTGAAACAATCACTCTGCCTGGCATATTATTTAATAAATTAAATATCTTAGTTGTGATGGGAGTTTCACAGAAATATACATATGATAAAATGACATATACACACAAACGAGTGCACGTGTAACCAAATAACTCTGTGGGTTGTACCAAGGTCAGTTTCCTGCTTTTCATAATCAGGTACTGCAGTTAGGCAAGATGTTAAATTTGGGTGAAGCTGAGTGAAGGGTACACAGCATCTCTCTGTATGTTTCTTTGCAACTTCCTAGAAATTATAACTAATTAAAATCTTAAAAGTTTCTTAATGTGGGGAAAAGAAAGAGAGATCAGACTGTTACTGTGTCTATATAGAAAGAAGTAGACATAAGAGACTCCATTTTGTTCTGTATTTGAGATGCTGTTAATCTGTGACCCTACCCTCAACCTTGTCCTTGCAAGAGACATGTGCTATGGTGACTCAAGGTTTAAAGGATTTTGGGCTGTGCAGGGTGTGCTTTGTTAAACAAGTGCCTGAAGGTAGCTTGCTGGTTAAAAGTCATCACCATTCTCTTAATCTCAAGCACCCAGGGACAGTATACTGCCAAAGGTCGCAGGGACCTCTGCCTAGGAAAGCTAGGTATTGTCCAAGGTTTCTCCCCATGTGATAGTCTGAAGTACGGCCTCGTGGGAAGGGAAAGACCTAATGGTCCCCCAGCCTGACACCTGTGAAAGGTCTGTGCTCCAGGACTAGTACAAGAGGAAAGAAGGCCTTTTGGCAGTTGAGATAGAGAACAGCATCTGTCACCTGCCCCTCCCTGGGCAATGGAACATCTGGGTGTAAAACCCGATTGTATGGCCGGGCGAGGTCGCTCAAGCCTGTAATCCCAGCACTTTGGGAGGCCGAGATGGGCGGATCACGAGGTCAGGCGATCGAAACCATCCTTGCTAACCCGGTGAAACCCGTCTCTACTAAAAAATACAAAAAAACTAGCCGGGCGAGGTGGCGTGCACCTGTAGTCCCAGCTGCTCGGGAGGCTGAGGCAGGAGAATGGCGTGAACCCGGTCGGTGGAGCTTGCAGTGAGCTGAGATCCGGCCACTGCACTCCAGCCTGGGCGACAGAGCGAGACTCCGTCTCAAAAAAAAAAAAAAAAAAAAAAAACCCTGATTGTATGTTCTGTTTACTGAGAAAGGAGAAAACCGCCTTAGGGCGAAAGGTAGGACTTGCTAGCGCAATGCTGCTCTTTATGCACTAAAAAGGTTTATAGAGATGTTTGCATATGCATATTAAGGCACAGCACTTTTCCTTAAACTTAAGTCACAGAGATCTTTATTCACATGTCTTACTGCTGACCTTCTCCCTATGATGATCCTATTACCCTGCCATTTCCCTTTTTCTAAGATGGTAAAGATAATGATCAATAAATACTGAGGGAACTCAGAGGCTGGTGCCGGCGCGGGCGGGTCCTCTGTATGCTGAGCGCCGGTCCC